TATTCTTATTTACCCGATAGTTGAATAAAAGTGACCACAGAGCAATTCTGCAAATGAAATCGTTCTTTTGCTGGAGAACAGTCCAGGTATCTAGGATTATTTATGCTGCCGCTCTTTTTCTTATTGTTTGTAGGATTGCGAACGGCGATTAGCGGATTATTCCCAACGTGGGCCTTTGTGACCCAAGTTCTATTATCAGCTTTCGGCAATTCTAGTACAAGCAGTTCTATATGAGTAAAATACTGTTATTTGGATGAGGTGAATCAAGGATGCTAGTACATCAGTGGCGATGTCTACTTCTTGACTAGTCATTGTGATGCAGTGAACCAGCCTGTGCTTATCCCCGCTATTAGCAATCACAGTATTCTTTATTGGCTGAGAGCAGTACATTAACTTGGGTTGAAGAGTATAGCTCTCACTATTCTTTCCCTGGCGAGAACAACGTTACACAGTCGATTTTCCTTATGTAACGTGAATAATAAAATCGAAAATGCTCGTGGTGGATATATCCCTTCCCAATTATTGGTCGGGCTGGATCACTTGTAGGTTCATGATATTTAGAAGCAGATCGGCGGAAAAGCAGAAGTATTTCAGACATCTCTCTCCATCCCAAGTATTATTTGTGGGTTGATATACATTTGAATAGAGACGTCAAATACGACGCTTTGCCATATTTGTGAGCATTTCACTCGGCATGTGTATGCATATTTTACAGGTAAGGTAGTTTTGAAGTGAAAAGACAACAGATGGGCAGAGAACGTTTCATAATCGCGCTAGTAACCCACTGGTGTTGTGGGTACATGCATATCGATGGGGTGATTGTGAGTGGATATGCGATTGTCACAATTAAATGTAATCAGCAGATGAATACTGGCTATTGACCTAGTAATCATGAGTACCCACCGTTCAGTAATGGGAACGTGCTATCTACACTCTGAGACTCGTAGTAGCAAGCTGCACATGGCCTAACAGGTTTGAGTCGTCTGGGGATGCTTCTGGTTACAGCTTTATAGAAGATCTGGTTTTCAGGAGTATTTTTTCCCCAACATTGCTTTGGTACACTGGAGCTATTGCTTGCAATGGAGGCTCACGCTAGAAGTCAAGTCAAGTCAAGTATTTGCTTTATGCACCCCGAAAGGTGGATATTCAGCAGTCACATAGTCATCTAACAATTATCGAACAAAATTATAGCATAATTATCGTGAGCAGTGAAAATGAATACAGTTTAAGAGATAACTGAGTATAGGTCCGAAGCAATGCTTTCTGCGCTGACAAGAAATCGGGCAAGATAGGGCACCACAGAAGACCGATAAGCGGTCGTACGAGCAAATATACACTTATAACGGGACCGGGTGGAAGAGG